AAATGTGTTTTGTGTTGTATTGAATTGAGTTGAATTGAACTGAATTATCTGGCAGAAGGAAGAATGTTGACATTCTTTCTCTTTATTCTTCCCTATGAGAGAGGACACAGGCCTTGAACTCTTAAAAATGAATCATGAATTCTGCTTATGTTTTTTTTTTTCCTCTTCCCTTTTGGTATCACAGGGCCTGAATTCAAATTCAAATCTACTTGCTACCTGTGTGACCTTGCAAATCACTTAACCTCCTCGTCTATAAAATGAGGACATTGAACTGGGTGACCTCTAAGTTCCCTTCCAATACACTATACCTATGGGCTTATTTTCTTTTGGTGAAAGAATAAAGGTTTTATAAAGAGTGATCAATAACTTCCCTAAAAGCCAAAGAAAGAAGCCTGAACTTTTTGCTCATCCTGGGGTGAGCATCTCTTTCAGGATTAGGGCTTGCAAAGTCATATATTAGGAAAGAAGGAAAGAAACAAGCATTTTTTAAGTGCCTTCTCTAAGCTAGGCACTTTATAAATATTATCTCATTTGATCCTCACAACAGCCCTGGGAGGAAGATGCTATTAGTATCCCCATTTTACAGTTGAGTAAACTGGTTAAAAGTAAAAGAGATTAAGTATGTGAGGTCATATTTGAACTTGGGTCTTCCTGACTCCCCCTCAGCACTCTATCCACTGTACTACCTACCTGCCTCTTTGGGGGTGGAGGAGTAGGGGCATGCTGACATCATCATGGTCTTGATCATAGTTTTGCTTTTTTTTTGTATTCTCTGCACTTTGCACAATACCTGACACCTATTAAGTGATCAATAAATACTCTTGTCTGATTTGTCCTGAAGCCAATAAAAGATATTTGTCTATTGCAAGTTCCTTTCCCAAAACTAAGTTCCTATTGGAGATCAATAGGTTTTCTCTGGAGAGTAAAAACATCTTTTCGTGTTTTCTTCTTTCCTTCCTTCAGTGAGCAAGAAAGGGAAAGGAGCCAAATAGAGCACTGGATCTGAACTCCCAGTGCTGGTTTCATAAAGTTTTGTAGTCCTTTCTGAGCAAGGAAAAAGTCTTAATGAAAGGAGGCCCTTCCCCCTTCCCCCCAATTCTACCCATGTAAGCGGTCAAACGTTTCCTGGGAAAGGGCATGTACACACAGGAAGACTTGATGAATGGTTCTGGCAGCACCAGCAAGAATAACCTTCACTCTTTTTCCTCCCTGGCTTGGTGCCAACAGAGATAGAACTAAAATCCCCCTTTTTTTCTGTGTTGGGGCAAGCACCAGCCAAATGTCATACTCAACTCTGCTTGCTCCACCCTGATGAAAAGCGTGCTTCAGGGGTTGTAGGGAGCCCAGTCTTGCCTCCTCTTTCCCCATCCTGGAGTATTTTGTCCCTTTTACCTTGACTAAATGTTTTACATTTTGGTCTGTTATTTGAATCATTTGAATTTTTCAGACTTGAACACTAATCTGCTGCTGGTAAATCCCCAATCCCCCTTTTCAGCTCCTCTTTGTGTCCTTCCTCATTAGAATGCAAGCTTCTTAAGGGCAGGGTCTGTCTTTCTCTTTACTTGTATTTGTACCCCTAGTGGTTAGCACAGTACTTGGCACATAGTAAGCAATGAATAAATTCCTTTTATCTTGAATCAATCTACCCACATTTTTTTGTTGTTGTTTAAGAGAACTTTATTGACGATCTTTTTTTTTTTATATTGCCTGAATTTCCCAGTATATTCCATTCCCTTTCCCAGAGAGCCATTCCTTATAACAAAGAAGAAGAAAAAAGAGGGGGAAAGCCAGTTGATTTTGTATGAAGTGTTCCACACTCCTAGTTCCTCAGTTTTGCAAAAAAGCAGGGGAAGTACCTTCTCTTATCTCTCCCTGGGGCCAAGTGTGGTGAGTGCTCCTTATAAGACACTCTGCAACGTTTTGTTTCAGGGCACATAAAAGTAGTCCAGCACACATTCCTTACCTCTGGGAGCTTAGAGTCTAGTCAAGGAGAAAAGCTACACCTGTAAGGCTTTAGATAGCCATACAAGAGTTAAGTCAGAATGAACCTAAGGGATGCCATAGGCAGTCTGTGCTTTATTGACAAATGAGTGGTGTCAACAAATGAGTCAGGGCAATGAATTCAGATGTGGGTGAGATCATTTGGGACAAGAAAAGGCTTCTTGGAGGAACTGAGACTTAAACTAAACCTTGCAGGTAATTGAAACTTAGTATTAGAATGGCCAGTGGAGGCTTGGAAGGTAGAGAAGAATCACAATGGTCATGAGAAAGTTAGATGATACAGTGGAGTAGAGGAATGAAATTACTAATTTTTTTTTTTAAGCCAGGGGCTTCTTGTCCCTTAGAAAGCCATAGCTGAGGAGGAGAGTTGCTGCCAAAGACCTAGGGGGACCACCTCTGACTGCCTAGTGGCATTCCCGAAGTATAAGGATGCATGAGTGGTCAGGTAGCACAAAGTGTCCTCACAGGGCCTTCCTTCTTTACCTTCAGATTCATTCTGTGGCACAAAAAATAGTCTGCAAACTCTCAAAGCCAGATTGCTTTGGGAAGTGTTCCTTGGTGTAGTTTGAATAACTTCTTGCTGCTGTTTTTGTTTAACCATTGCTTTGCTCACCAATTAAGGTCATCAACCTCCATGCATTCCCTTGCAGGTCCCCTTGGGTCCCACTTTTCAACAGCACACACAGACCAAGGATGTTTATGCCTCTAGATATCACAGAAGCAAAGAATGTTAGAGCTGGGTGGGACCTGTAACAGCATGTTATGCTCAGAGCTCTAGAATAAACAATAAGGACGACTGACCTCCTAGCCTCCCTCTGCTGCCTGGGATGGCATATCTCTGGGAAGTCTTTGTGATTGCTCATCGTTAGCTTGGCATCTCAGTCAGGGAGTATTCAAGTGATTCTTATTAATTTCCCTAGAAAAAATTATACATACCTGTCAATTCTATTTAAACCCTCAAGCTCTCCTTTGATGGGGAGAGGCCCCACTGTGACTTAGGTACTTTCCTCAAAGGCAGATATTGGCTGTCTTTTTTACCCTATGTAAACCTTCTTACCTTATTTGTAGGGTGTTTTTTTGTGGGTTTGAAAGTAAGTTATCTTGAAAACTTTTTTACTCTTTTTTTGTCTTATTGCACTCTAAAATTTTTCCCCCACCAATTAAGATAGATGTGAGAATTATAGCTTCCAGTGTTTAAAAAATTTTACTCAATTTAAAAAATTATCTCAAAATGAACTTAAAGCTTTGCCATGTATTATTAAAAAGAGGAATCAGGAGCTGGCTTCAGGATTGGGAAGACCTGGCTCCTAGCCTTCTTCTACTACACACTGGCTATTGGACTTTGGACAAGTCACTTAACCTTTCAGAGCCCCTAGGCAACTCTAAGGTTGTAGGTTACAAGGCAAGTGCCATCTACATTTGTTGAGAGTACTTCCTTGGTGGGGAGCTCTATGTACTGGTGAAATCACAAGGACAAGACCAAAAAAGAAGGAAAGAAGAGCTGGGGATGGCCAGCTTTGAGTTATGGTTTTGATTGAGAGGAATGATGTGTCTGATAAGCCACCTTCAAGAAATGTTCCTGAAAGAATTGGCCTTTCTTTGGCTACCACGTGACAGCTAATGTTAATAGTTCCTTCCCCTCCAGCTGTGGAGACTTCTTTTCTTATTTACTATATATGGCTTTTCTATATTAGGTTGAGAATAGAACTAAAGTCTGCAAATGAACTCCTTTAAAAAGCTTATTTTATCTCAGCATGCCAGAAGCAAGGGATACTCTGAAACTGAACAGATTTGGAGCATTGAAATGCTGGCTTTTCCATGTTCAAGCTACAACCACCATAAGCTTTATCCTCATAAGTCAACTCATCCACAGCCTAGCCATAATATCATACCATAGTATTGACTTCTACCTCTGCTCATATTATACCCGTGGTATTTTTCTAAGGTTCACTGCCTATACTGATATATATATAAAAAGGCCTGTTGGTCATACACTATTCTTTTCATTTATGGCCATATGAAAGTACAGAGATTAGTACCAGTAGAGTATTCTGTGAATACTGAGGGTAGTAAAAGTATTGAAAAAGAAAAGCCATGGAAGGAGCTGTGACATGTAGCTTTCAGGATAAATAAACAGACCACTAAATTGTTTGAGCCCTAGCAGATCTTAGGGTTTGATAGCTCCAAAATCCAAGACAAGGGATAAATAGTTTTTAAAAGTAGAGTTTAGTGACTCTATGCATGAAGAATTTCCAATGTGGCTCTCAATCCAGCCACTTAGGGTTACTTAGATGGCAAATTAGTTCCTTTGTTTCCAATAAAAAAAAAAGAAGGGAAGGAAGGAAGAAAGAAAGAAAGAAAAAAACCTTTTGTGATAACTATTTATAGTTAAGTAGAGCAAATTTCTGAATTGGTCATATCCAAAAATGTATTTCTCATTCTATTTCTCAGAATGTAGAGGGTGGGGAATTGAAGATGGGGAGAAGAGAGAGGTGTTAAACACATCTAATTCCCAAGGAAGTGACTTGACCAATTTGCAAGTAAGGAAGCCAAACCTAAGATAAAGAAATATTTATCCCATCTTCCCTGCCTCACATTCTAACATTCTTTTTGGAAAATATAATGACTTGATTTTTTTGAAAATCATGGTGAGAAAGCTACAATGCCATAGCAAATCTCAAAAGACAAGTAAGTAGTATATATGTTGCTTATTGACTGTAAGTGATATTGGTTAATGATAATGTGACTGTGATATTAGTTAATCAGAAATAAGAAGGCCATTGATGTGTCTTTAAATGCTAGTTTTTGGAAGAAAACTCTGCCTTTCTTTCTATCATCTAATCATACCTGACTATAACATTTGTACTCTGTACCTTTTTATTTTGTCCTGGAGATGAATGGAAAGTAGGAGGGGAGGAGAAAAAGCTCTGTAATTAAGTTACACTTGTGAAAAGTGAGATGCATCTGGTATAATGCTTCACAATTATTTGTGTTTCTAGGCAGTGGACCAATCCAGCTGTGGCAATTTCTTCTGGAGTTACTCACGGATAAATCCTGTCAGTCATTTATTAGCTGGACAGGAGATGGCTGGGAATTCAAGCTCTCTGACCCAGATGAGGTAAGAAGGGAATATGTTGAGAGTACTATGAGAAAGAACTCTGGACAAGGACTAGCTTGGAGCTGCATGTCACATTCCATTTTTCCAGTGATATTAATTCTTGACCATTTGGACATCATGGGATCTAGAACTGGAAGAGATCTTAATGGTCATCTTGTCTACCCTCATTTTACAGATGAGGAAAGTAAGGCCTAGAGAGGAAAAGTGATGAGCCCAAGTAAGTTTATGAAGCCTTGGAATTCTTCACCTTCTTCTATCTTAAATAAGTGATACTGTTGTAGTCATGTGAAAGATTTGGGGGTTTTCTCAGACCTTTACTTATTGATGGCAGGACCTGCCTACCTCCTTGAATCAAATAAGTCATTCCTGAGATGACTAAATACTGTAAATAGTATTGATGCCAGAGTAGGGCTTTTGCTTTTGTTCTTTGACCAAATTGCTAGATTAATTTCCCCACTTCTTCCATATCAGTATTCATTGCTGACTGAAACAAAAATCTACCAACTTTGATTTTTCCCTGGTCCTTAAAAAATAGAACTTACCAAAATGTCTTCTAACTCCATAATTCTTTTTTAAAATTTAGTTTAATTTTTAACTAAAATTTTATTTTAAAAACAAGTTTTTTTAACTAAACATGTATTTTTTTTCTCCTTCCCATCTCCCAAACAAACAAAAAGAAGGCAAGAGGAAACCCCTATGATAAATATTCATAGTTGAACAATGCAAATGTCTGAATTAACTGTAGCCAAAAAATGTGCATCTTATTCTGAACCTTGAGTCTATCACCTCTCTGACAGGGAAATGAATAGCATGCTCCATCTTTGGGCCTCTGGAATCATGGTTTATAATTAATTACATTGATCAGAATTCTCAAGTCTTTAAGAAATTGCTTTTCTTTATAATGTTGTTGCATTGATTATACTTCTGGTTCTGCCCAGTTTCACTCTGAGTCAGTTCATACAGTTCTTCCCAGTTTTTTTTCTGAAACAATTCATTGCATTTTTCACAGGTCAATAATAATATCCTGTTATTTTCATATGCCACAATTTTTTAGCCATTTCTCAATAGAATAGATGGGCACCACCTGAGAGGTTGTTTTTATTCCTTCACTGCTAAAAAAGAGCTGCTACAATTATTTTTTTTTACATATTCCCATATCCCAATTCTTTATGATGCTACATGCCACATGTCAGTGGGCATATAATCTGACATTTTAAAATTATGGTATTAATTATTTTTATTCCACTACCTCCTTCCAGGTGGCCAGGAGATGGGGCAAAAGGAAAAACAAGCCTAAGATGAACTACGAAAAACTGAGCCGGGGCCTACGTTACTACTACGACAAAAACATCATCCACAAGACAGCGGGTAAACGCTACGTTTATCGCTTTGTCTGTGACCTGCAGAGCCTGCTTGGGTATACGCCTGAGGAACTCCATGCCATGTTAGACGTCAAACCTGATGCAGATGAGTGACAGAGATGGAAGAAAATGGGGAGAACTTTGCTGAAGCATTTCAAAGATCAGCTGCATCAGTCGGACTCTTGATTTTAAATTGTTGTTATGTTTTTTGTTTTTGTTTTTTTATTATTATTATTTTCCAGACATGAGGAAACTCAGTTTTTACATTCAGGGGTGGGAAGCTGAGCCGAAGCTATAACTGATGGTGGTGTGGCCACCGACGGAAAGCAAGGAAGGGCTTCTGAACTAGGGAAGGACAGATTTTTAAGGGGAAGGGAGGGTCTTCATAGAAACCAGAAGAATCTGGTTTAAATGAGGAAGACAGTCCAATATTTAGTCACTTATAGAAACCATTCATTGAAAAGATGCCGCTTTGGTTATGGCCTTATTAATAAGCAAAAGAAACTGACACTTCAGGAAGTGAAAAGACTGATGAAAGGGTAGTTTTTTTAAGGGCTGGGAGGGCAGAAAGGGTGGGATAGAAGGTTCTGTTCTGGGGATGGACCTTGGAAAAACACAAGAATTTTACTCTTTGCCTTTTACTCTGCTTTTGGAGCAAAAAAAAAATGGACTTCAGTGGGGAGGGGACCAAACTTTTTTTGTGTTTAAAATTTATTTTATTAAATTTTGTGCCAGTATTTTTTTTTCTTAAAAATCGTCTTAAGCTCTAAGGTGGTCTCAGTATTGCCATTCTGTGCGAGTTTGTTCTATGTGCCGGCTGAGGATTCGGTCACAGTGAAAGAAAACTGTTTATATAGACCCCACTGGAAAAGTGTAGCGTTGTCATTGATATTCAGGAGTCCAAAATTTAAGACTCATATATGTAGGAAAAACAAGGCTGATTTGGGTATCAGGGATGGAAAAATGTTCTTCGGTGCATGTGAATCTCACCTGTGAATATTTCTTATCATCACATCCATTTTCTCATTTGCCATTAGCAGACTCTTGGGGTTTGGACTTAATGCAGAACTAAGAAAATCATTAAGTCTTTTAACTGAATGTATTACACAGCTGTAACCTGGAACTGTAATAATTGTAGTAGCACTGGCCTAGTAGTAGAAAAGAAAGTGAGAGGGGAAGATGAATTTGGAGATAGTTCCCTGTCAGTTCTCAATTATATATGTAGATTAAAAAAATAAAGGTGTAGGCATATAAGATAGCTATTAGATCTAGAGAAATGAGTTCTGAGTGCATTGAGATCCTAGCCATCCACCTAAGCACCCCCACCCCTATTCCCTCCAGGCTGGGATCGTCGCACATAATTCTTCTGTTGTCTCCTCTCTCTCCCTCCCCTTCCGTCCCCCCATTTCTCAGTAAGGAGAAAGTTGTAATTTACTAAATGATAAATGAAAGGAAGCTACAGGAGAGAGGGTAAGATCTGGAGATTGTCCTAGTTAAACCATTTTGGCTGGCTGAGTTTTAGCAAGGAGGGGAGTTGTAGAAGTTTAGATAGCAGTGCATAGCAAACAGCTTGGTGTAGAATTCCACAGGGGCAAAAGCCTGAGGCTTAGAACTGAAGTCAGCTGAGACTAGGGATGTTAAGCATGTAGTCAGTATAAGCCTTCTTAGGGCATGGTCCTTGGATATGTTATCTTGTTATAGGAGAAGTAAGGATGGTTAGATGGTATAGAGGAGAGGAAAGGTTTGCAGGTAATGGGAGCATGATGGGAGGAGACCAGATTTAGTAAGAAAAGGTAATCCGTGTGTTGTAAGAAAACACCTCCCCCCTCCCCACCGGACCCCAAGAGTTCAGTGCTTTTCATTTCTTTCTTACTTGGGCATGGCCCTTGAGAACCATTTTCTCAATCTTGGGTGAAAATGTGGTATTGGGGGGAAATAAGCAGCTAGTTAGAAAAAAAGTGCCTGATGTTAGTATAAGCACCTTGATGGATACCTGATAAATGAGATGATGATGGAAAAAATGAAAGGAGGACTTGAATTTAGCTTTCAGTATGAGAATAGAAAAAAAAAATTCAAGATGGGTTGCTTCCAGGCCAGCCCTTTCTAGACTGTCAATGAGAAATTAGATGCTTAAACTACCTTGCGGTATATATCCAAGGAAAGAGAAGACTTACTCTTAGGTCAGCTCCGAAAGCCTGGATCATCAAAAAGGGGCTTTGTGATCGATCCATGACTGTCCCAAGCTTGTTAAGGTGGAGACAGGAAGTGGTGGACAAAGTGAAGTTACGTCAGGCCATTATGCATTTTGCCTGTTATGCCAGGTGCCTTAAAAAAGCTCCCATTGTGATTTTTGGGGCTGCTCAGGGAGGTCTTTGATGGAACAAGTTGGACTATGTTGCTTTCCCCCACATTTTATTGTCTTGTTGGTCACTGGCAAAGCTGTATGTGTATGTGTGTGTGTGTGTGTGTGTGTGTGTGTGTGTGTGTGTGTATTTGCATGTGCTATAAAATTTTGAAATACTGTCTGAGTTTCCCAGTTCAGTCTTTTCCTGTTTCAGCCGTGGGGGAAAGAAGAACCTGTGGCTTACCGTAGCTCTTTGCTTGCTATATTTGCAACCTGGCATAAATCGCGTATTCATCTCATTGCCCTTCTTTTGAATTTAGGCTGAAAATACCTGCTTTTCAAACAATTCCATAATTCCTACAGTTGTATAGTAAACATAAGAGAGTGCTGAAATACCTAGTAGTTCCTAGACCTTACAGATTTTGCTTTTCATGAGGGCCATTTTACTCCCACCCCCAATCCCTCCTTAGTGCCACCATACTCAGTATTTGCAGCTTCTGCTTTTGCCCAGAAAATTTTTTGGCCTAGCCAGATTCTCGTTCTCCCTCTCTCTGTCCAAAAGACAGACCATCCCAGGATGAATGGTGGATGGTTTATACACTGGAAATGTACCTTAATTGTTACCTTTTTGCTTTTCTTTCATTAAAAAAAAAAAAACAACACGTTAACTCTAGAGGAGGGATGGGCAATTCTGGTTCACCTTGATGTCACCCTGACTTTTATAGAGATGTCTAATGTACTGTCAATGGATGTTGGCTTCAGGTTCTCTCCTGTTCCCCCTTCTCTCCCGGAGAAGGATAGCCTTCTATTTAGCACAATTCCATGGCTAAAAGGGTTGGAAGGAACAGCAAAAAGTTGGGGCCTTCTGTGAACAGGACAGCTGGATGTCTCCCAGTGTTGCCTGCCCTTACTTTGGCGTTGAACACTCTGGGTTTTTGGAGCATTAAACCTACCTTTTCTTCATGGTGGATAAACACACCATCTCTACTCTGGTCATGCTGTGCATGCTGCTTTCTCTGTTGGGGTCTATATAAATCCGTTGAATTATTGCCTACATTCCAAAGAAGTTTCAAGGAACAATAAATATATGTATACATATATACATATATAATATAAAATATATATTGTAATGGAAATATCTCCACCAAGAATACTGCCTCAGTTATTGAACATTGTTGTTTTTTTACATAAGAATTTTTTTAAGCTGAGAAGTGTAGGGGGGAAAATGTTATATTGTGTTTGACTATTTTCCAACTTGTATTTTCATATAATTTATATTTTTTAAAAGTGGAAATTTTAAAAGCAAGATTTAAAAAAAGGAAAAGCAGGTGCTTTTTAAAAAATTGGAGCTGAGGTAGCTTAGAGATGTAGCGATGTACGTGTCTATGTTTTATTGTGTTTTTTTTTTAAAGAAAATGCAAAAAAGCCATTTCTTATGGGGGAGATTTTTTTTTCCATTTGTTTTAGTAGCTGATGCTGGCACATCATTTTGCTGGAGAGTTTTTTATATACTGTAGCCTGATTTCATATTGTATTTTAAACTGTGTGAGATTAAAAAAAATCATTCATAATGATGTGGGTTTGGCTTGATTTTTTCCTGTCTGGTTCATCAGTTAATTAAAAAAATACACTTTGACCAACAAAAGGCCAATGCAGGGATGAAGGCACTTGGTGATAATCTGTCGGAACTTCAATAGTTGTGTTTTAGAACATTTTACAACTTCTGTACTATATGATTTCACTTTGTGTGAGTATTTTTCCCCACAGATTTAGAACCAGAAGTAATCTTTAGGAATCACTTGATCCAACTGTTCTTTCTACTCTTATATTTCAGATGAGGAAACCAAACTGAATCATCCATGGTCACACCATAAATGGTAGGGCTGGAATTCAAACTCAGGTCTCCTAATTTCAAATACAGACCTCTTTTCACTGTACCACAATGCCCTGACAACCCCAGTGGGGATCACATATCTTAGTCTCCATATCTTAGTCAAGAGTTATTATAGGCAAAAAAAATTATCACCTTCTTGAAAACATCTAGACTACTCCACAGGCATACAGGCAAACAATGGTTAAGTGATATGTCCAAGGTCACAGAATTATTAAGTAACTGAGGCAGAATTTGAACTCCAGGCTCAGCATTCTATCCACTGTGCCATCCACACAGCTGCCTCCCCAAGAACAATGTAAGGAAGACCACTGAAATCGGAATCCTTGAATATACTGTGTCAAAGGTTTTGTTCTCATTAAGGTGCATTTTGGTCTAAATTGAGAGGAGGAACATATTCTAAACATTTATAAGCTACTCAAGCTATTTGATTGTCTGTTACAATTCCTAACACTAATTAGAATGCATTGGACTTGAAAACAAGAGGCTTGCTTTCTTGTTCCTCTCTTTGCCACTAATTTATTATATGACTGTGGTCCTATGGCATACAAGTTTTCTGACTCAAATCTTTCAAAGCAATTCAATTCAGTAAAAATTTGTGTGCTAGTTGTTGGACTGAGCTAGTTGTAAAATTAGAATGATAGTATCTGCCTACAAATCCCTTGCAGAGATGGTATGAGATGAATTCAATTTTATTTGCAAAGAAAATGGAGCTCTTTGGAGAAAGGTACTCCAGGACAAAAATCCAAGGTTGTAGTGTTCTGTTCTTGTTGCCAAAACTGTAGAAGTTAGATGCTTTTAATTGACATCAATGTTCCCAACATGAATCCCAACACATATATATGTATATATATATACACACATATATACATGTATATATATACACACATATATACATGTATACACATACATATTACATACATATACATACATACATATTTTTGGCTGAAATTGTTCACAAAAAGAGCTCTGTTTTGGGAAGACCTTATTTCTCCAGTCCAGGAATTTGAGGTTTGCTGAGCATACATTAAACATTGGCTGTGTGGTCTAGTGGTTAGGGAACCTGACTAGTAACTGGGAAGGATCTTGGGCTCTAAATCCCAGCTGAGCAGCCACCACCCACCGAGTGACCTCGGGGAAAGTGCTTGACATCACTATATTTCTGATTTCTCAGCTAGAAAACTGGGCAAAACCTCAAATCTTCTGTGGAACCTGAGGCCACATCTAAGCTATTCTACCCCTGAGTAAATAAGAGAGCAGGTTTCTCTCTTTCTCAGGCATTTGGTCTTGGAGGGTTTCTGAAGTATGCTGGATCTGCTATCCCATGATGTGCCTGTTTTAACCCTAGCTCTTAAAACAAAATGTTCTTAGAATGTTTCTCCAACTGAGATGGAGGTTGGGGGGGGGGGGTCTGTGTGAAGAGTTCTGATGGGAGAGGACTAGAGACAACTAACAATTGTGCGTTCTTCAAGAAAGAGACAGAGACCAGTCGAAGCATTGAAGTGGGGGTGATGATAAGATGTGCTAGAAGAGCTGCCTGCTGCTCTGGTGGTTTTGTTGCTGTGTTTGCTGCTCTGGCAGGGTGGAGGGATGAATTTGAGATGGGAGATGTGATGAAAAAGGTGATAAGGGACTGGGTAGAGAATCTTCAGCTCCTTTGAGATATACCTTTATCACTACTTATTATTACCAAGGGTTGGGGACTGAAGATCAATGGAACTCATACGAGAGAATGAATGAATGAATGAATGAATGAATGAATGAATGAATGAATGAAAAAACATTTATTAAATAAATTCCTTAAGATTACAAAGGAAAGAAATGATACTGAAATAAAGATGTAAAATTTTCCTATCCAAGTTCACACCCTCTTAAATCAGACACCCTAGTTCAAGAACTCCTACTTTACGGAATGAAGAAGTGTCTTTACTTCCTTTCCCAAACTTTCCTTCATATCTGATTTTCCTCAAAATCACTGTTCTGGATTGTGTCTCAGTGATCACAATAAGAATGTGATCACAATTAGCAATAGCTAGCCATCTCTTGAAGATCTTTCAATGAGTTTTTCATTTGTTACCTCATTTGATTCTCTTTTCCAGTTTCCTGGGACTCCTCCCAAACCCCATCTTCAGACCAGGAATTACCGAAACAATAGCCCTCCAGGTGTCTAGCTGGCCCCAGGGTGTGGCTCTACTTTTTTGTCTTTGCTGGCTCCCTCCAACTTGGCCCCACATCCATTCCTCTAGCTTTTTTAGACTCTGAAAAATAGCCCAATGATCTGCCCAGGCTCTTTTCTGGCACCTCCCGGAGGTGGAGAAAATCTTCTTGGAATCTAAACAAGGCACAAACGGGAACCTCCTCTACGGTAGGTGAGAAAAGCTAATAGGAAAAGATCTTCGGATAGGGGAAGTAAGTGAAGGAAAACCAACTCTACTTTAGTTGTGCTTAGAACTTTGGGTAGCCTGCAGAGATGGCCAAAGGCTCTCTGTCCTTTGGTCTGCTGTTACTGCTGAAAATGACTGAGAAGTCAGATTTCAACTCCACCATTCTCCTTGTTTCTCTCTCCTCAGCTGCCTTCTCTTCTTTTCATCTTTTCCTGCCAAAGGAGAAAGCTGGTTCTCTTAGATTAGGGCTGGCATCCTCCTGAAGTGTTTGCTTCCAGAGCAGCTGGATTAATAGAGACCCTTCTTCCCACACATACTGTGCAGCCAGGAAATTAACAGTGGCCAACCGTCATGACTCATTGGAAGATTCTCAATGAAAATAGCCAGCTTGGACTTTTTGCTACTCCATCTTCCAGCTCCCATCCCTCTCATTTGTGTCTCCTCCCCACCTTCTCTCAGCTGCAGTGTGCTCAGGGCACTGCGGTCAGCTAGGGCTGCCTCATCTGGCTGGACACAGGGGAGCATGCAGGCTGTCAGCGACCACTTGTTAGAGATGGAGAGGGGTGTGGAAGATAGCCACTATCTGTCTCCTGTCCACTCCATACGGTGTCAGGGCAAATAAGACTCTCAAAGTAACAATCTTAATCCTTTGGCAGACAGACCCCAGGAACCTCCATCTCTGATTCTTCAACACAGGTCACCTCAGATACAGCAGACATCAAGAGATAACAGAAAGGTGGTGAAGGTCTCTTTAAACTGGGCCCACAGTCATTCCCAGACCAGAAAAGTTATTTTTTCCCTTTGACTTGAAAAAGTCATTTAGTCTCTCTCCTGCTCCTCATCAGTTAGACATGCCTGTTTCCTATTCTTACATCCCTCCTGGGAAGGGAAAACCTACAGCCTTTATGGGTGAGTAACACAGTTTGGAAGTTCTTTCTGCTAACCCCTCTAGTGCAGTTTTGGCCCATTTCTTCTTGACTTCTTTTAGCCAATTTAGATGGATAAAGTATTAGTTAAGTACTTAATAGCAGGCCCTGTGATAAGTGCTGGATATACAATCAAGTTAGATACTTTGAAAATGAAAGAGTTGCAAGACACAGAAAGAACAATCATGTTTCATTTATAACATTATTTATATGGGTCTGAGAACTGAGTGATGGGGTAAAAAATGAATAGTATTTTAAGTGTAGTGGAGTGGAAAGAGTTCAGGCCTTGGGATTAAAGACTTAACTTTGGATCCTAGCTCTTCTACTTAATTACTTTTGTGATTTTAGGCAAATACTAGGAACTATTTGAACCTCAGTTTCCTCATCTAGAAAATGAGAGTACTGGATTGATACCTAAACCAGGGGTGGGGAACCTGCAGCCTTGAGGCCACACGTGGCCTTCTAGGTGTTTGGGTGTAGCCCT